GGGTGAAATATTACCATAGCTTGTGCAATCTAAACCCTCCATAAAGTGGCTTTGCGTTTCGCATGAAAAACGATAAGGGAATATTTTCGACATGTTCCCGTAAATGAGTCAGATTCCATCCCCGATCGTTCGAGCGCTCGATGGAAGGGTAAACAGATACGGATAGCACAAGCTTAACAGAGATATCGAATCTGATCCAAGGTTAGTTTCTAACCGAATGGTTCTGGTCGGTTTGGATAAAATTGGATTTTTATTAAGGAAACCTTTGAACCCTTTGGGAGAGTGTTAGGACCTTTTTTCGGTCTTGAAATTGTAACCTCTTCGAGGAAACACTGCGCAAATCGAAAGATACAAGTTCAAGGTATCGATAAATTTGAATTTTCTTTATCAGAAGACACAGTTTTCTTACTTTTCAATTTTTGTTAACTAACTGAGTTAGTTTAGGTTTTGAATTTTAACCTTTTCAAGAGAACACTATGCAAATCGGAAGATACAAGTTCAAAGTATTGATAAATTCGACTTTTCTCTATCAGAGGCCCTAATTTTCTCACTTCTCCATTCTTTTTTTAACTTATTTATCTTTTAATCGACTCCCAAACGCTCTCCATGTCCCACTTTGTTTATTGGTCGCACATTTAGCCTGAATTGCGTAGGAATCGTTATCATTGTTTCGTTGGTGTTCAAGTAAAGACTGAAGGCACGCTTTGAAGTAACTTCTTCCACAAATCGGGAGGCAACGAGCCGGGGAACAAATCAAAGCGGAAATATTCATGCGGTCGGTTCTCTCCGACCTCCGGCTGGTTTACTCGAATACGTAAGAAGGGAAAGAGAGTACTTGCCTTAAATCTTTCGACGGTGGTACTTTTAGTAACGAGAAAGCTACTTCAACCTTGGCCCCGCGCGCGATTCACTTAACTCTGCGTCGCGAAACCGCAGCTATCCATCAGGAATTCAAACTACCTTAGACACTGGATGGATCAGTGCCTCTCAAACTTCTACTCTCAACACGAACAAAATTCCTATCCAGATAAAACATTCGAACAACAAAATTTCTACCCCGAGTTGAGTATAAATTAAAATTTGGAAGACTTCAACCGTCTATGAGCAGAGTTCTTTTTTTCTATAGGTGAACTGAAAGTCATTTGCTTCGATATTTCGAGTTGACTGTGCTCCCAACCGTCATCAATATCGTAGTTGACTATCAGAGACGTTATATAATTAAGACGTGTATGTCATTCTGTGAGAAAACTAAAATTATTTGGTAAAATATCGATATTCGTGACCTGGAAGTCATACAAGCCCATAGAGGATTAATAAAACAACTAAAGAACGCTCTTATTAAAATTGTACAAAATATTTTGAAATATTTGAGACCCACTGATGGAAGGAACCCTAACGGAAAAAAGATGATTCGAGAACTCTCATCCATTACAATTTCCGCGAACGTAAACAGCGTTGAGTTGATGTAATAAAAAAGTTAATCACATCGAATTTCGATTTAATACTTTTTTAAAAAATATCGAACAGCTTCGAGCACTCGCAATCGGATTATTTCGACTAATATTTGAAACGAGATTGAGTTACGAAACAGTTTTCGAAATTGCTGTTATCTGATATAACGATACTTTATTTAATAACGTTATCGCAATTAAAAACTGGAGTGTTTATTCGGCGCGTTCTTTCAGGTGTTGATTCCGCGCGAAATTTCACCCGGCTCTGATTACGTATAAAGCAAACGCGTTCGACCAATTTAACTAAAAGCCTTGCTTCAATATGTTATGTTTCCCGTGATGTATATCCATTTGGAGAATTGAATAACAATGATTTCGAAACTTTGCGTTTACAATAATGTACAGCTTAAAGAAGCTACTATAACCTTTAGAGGGACGAATTGTAAATAAATTATTGTTTTGCTCCGATCGAATGCGCCCAAATCGAAGCAACCATTCTCTGCTATCTCACTTTAATACAGTAATGCGTATCAACTCCAAAAGGTATCGGAATTATAAGTACCGGTAATTTTTATATACAGTGGGTGTAGAATGTATTCGTACACCGATCGATTTCCCAAGAAACTTTTGTGTAAAATTGTAGTTTCTTAACTTTTTTTTTTATAATCAATGATATTTTACATATTCTCTGAAGTCTCTAAGATAGATATAGTCCAAACAACATTTACTAGTTAATATAATTTGTGAAATCAACAAAAAAAATGCGAAAAGTGGGTAAAAGTATAAAAGCAATAAGTATTTGTACGATTCTTATGACGAACCATTTACAGTAGAGTTTGTAACGTAGACACGTTAGTTTATTCCTCCGTACAAATTAGAAAACATCAAATTTCCAGTGAAGTACTTTTAAAAATGGCTCGAACAGAGAAATTGAAGAAGATCCCACTTCGAATAACTAATAATTTAGTTAATTTAACGCTTAGAATAGTTGCAATAATTATAAAATCGAAAGGAAATTCCACGAAGGAAGTATTATATACTTGTAAATTAATGTGAAATGCTTTTTTTGAACGAAGTTTTAAAAATTAAACAGTTGTACGAATACTTATAGCTTCAATATTTCTATCGATTAATTGTTTTTTCTTGTTAATTTCGCAACTTACATAAATATCTATTTTTTGTTTGTAATCTATCTATTCTAGAGATTTCCGAGAATATGTAGACTGTCATTGTTTATAAAAAATAAGTTAATAAATCACAATTTTACATAGTTTTTTTGGAAATTGATCGGTGTACGAATACTTTCTACATCCACTGTAAAACCAAACATAGACACATGTTTCAATATCGCTCGAAAGGTTAAAATAAAATTTGTCAGTTTGGGTAGACAGTTTAAGAATTATTCTTTTCGTACTGTACTTCGGATAAATAAATATGTCGACTAAAACGTGCTGCAGAGGGGCACAAAATATCTCATTAAACTACATTAGAATAACCGAATATACGCTAATTTTCATTTCGGTTCAGTTATTTGTGCTCGCGGGGAATAAACCGATTAAGAAACCGCAATATTCAGCCAAAAGTACCAGACTGCCCCCTTGAGTCTGACGTAGTCGAACGCCTCTGCTCGGTCGATAGCAGAACAAAAAACGGACGAGAATGAACCTCAAATTGTCTCTGGTACGGTAGCCGATATAACACGCTCATCTCGAGGGACGACCACGAAGAGAGCGTACGGTGTCGCACGTCGGATTTCTTGTCGAGTGACCCGTTCACTCGGATCTCCCTATTGCTCTCTTTTTCACCCCTCTTCCGAGAGATAGATCTCCGTCTCCCTCGTTCCTGTTGTCCTGTCCTACGCCTCCTTCGACAGCCTTTTACACGATGCTAACCGGTATGACCGGAAAGAACCGGCGGAATTCTTTCTATGACTGTCAAAACAAGTCCGCCGCGCGATTTAACGAACTCGTTATGCGCCGACTGTAATCGATCACGCGCGATTTATCTGCATTTCGTCGATCGAACGGTACGCGAGCCCCAGTAATCGCGACATTCGCGACACTAAGACTACTAGTTATGGACAAACCTCCCGAGACATACTATTTCGGTACAAATCCCGAGAAACGAATAATTTTTACTCGGCCGATCGACAGATATTTAAATCCGTATCGTAGAATTGAATTACGTTTCACTGGCATCGGTATGGACATTTATTGAAATACGAAGTAGGTTTGCTAGTATTTTTAGTCGAGTATTTCTAGTCAGTTGTTCGACAGAAATTTGAATCTGTATAATAGAATAGAATTATATTTCACTGGCATCTGTGTGGATATTTATTAAAGTACAAACTAGCAGACCTACTTTATATATTATATGCAAGTACCCATATTATTTATGAACTATACAATATCATATTCCTATTGCATTCCGTACCTATACCTAATTTTTCTATTTTGTGGACTCGATGAAATAAAAATGTTCACCGTTCACTTCCTCGAACCCAATAAAAGTATGACACGCGAACGAAATCGCCAACGCGAGAAACTCGTAAACAGTTCGCATTCTTCAGAACAATTCCAGGGCGGTGTCGACGCGTTTAACATTTTTTTCTACATAGCTTACAAGAATGAGAGTACGTGCTACGTATAACCGAGTCACTACGGTGCGAAATTTTTGTTTTTATGTTTGAATTGTACGCCCGAGCTCTGTACACCAACAGGCGCGGCAAGGTCGCGTGCCGCTTCACGCAACGATCAAAACAATGTCGTTGAAATGGAGCAGGAAATTATTGCACGCAAGTGCGAACAAAGTTCGTTTCATACAGAGACGAGCAAAATTTCATCCCGATATATGAACGAACACAACCTAGGGGCCACATGTTCGCGACGTTTATCCGATAAAACTGTTATTTAATTAGCTTTTTATTCGTCCAACGTGATGTATAGCTTTATTCCATGACGTTTTTATTTTCATTCGAACGTTAATTATATCAAAAGTTTAGTTGAACCTCGCCTGATTTCGCACGTATGAATCGAAAACTGAGCACTGTATACATGAATAGAGAAGTAAAAATCTACGTTATTCGACATTATCATATAAACGATACTTTTGCTCATCTCTGGTTTTTTGAAGCGTCTTAACACTTTACTTACTGGTAACATATTAATCGACT